TATATATATATTCACAAACCAACTCCACACATGGGGCTAACATGTCTCTGTATTTACTTTATCATCAGGTGAATTTAGCCCAGCTACTGACAGACTCCAGAGAGCGAAACTCTCATCTGTCCGAGGAGGTGAAGGAGCTGAAACAGCGACTACTGGAAGCTCAAGGTGATAACAAGGTATGTTTCTAATGTATATTTGCCTCTCATTATTCATAAATACATTTCCAACATACCTTTGTACATTTATTTGTCAGTCTAAGTAACGATCAAGTGGATGAGTGTTGTTTATTTTAAGGACAGGTTTCAAATTGTACTGTACAAACACACCAAAGGTGTATAATTGCAGCTTAGTTGAGACTTTTCTTACTTTGTGCTACCACAGCTTCTGCGGATGACCATCACCAAACAGAGGCTGGGAGACGAAGAGGTCGGCGCCCGACACTTTCCCGCGCATGAGCGAGAAGATCTGGTCAAACAGTTAGAAAGGGCGAGAGAGCAGGTGAGAGCCCCCTGCTTGATTTTGACTATTCAGCTGATATTCAAATAATGGTTCACTTTTTTTATGATATACATTTAGTTAGTAGTTCTAATTGGTTCTTGCATTAGAAAAAGAAAGTTTATATTTATTTATATTTTATTTGTAAGTATTTTTTTATTTATTTTAAAAGCAATCACATGAACCCTATTTCCATTTCAGCAAAATCTAACCCAGTGTTTTCACCCTTTGTTAGCTGTCACAAGGTCACCATTTCAGTATCAGTGTCAGATGAATATGATTAAAAAAGTATGATAGTTTAAAATATCACATGAGAAATAAAAGTGCTGTGCAGGAAAAAAAATGGAACCGATTAGCAGTTTTCTTTAAATGTAGGTGAATATTAAAGCTGCTAACACTGGTGGCAATTAGATTTCTTTAAGCTGTGACACTTATTAGATGCTGTGCAGCGAGGTTGCATATCCCTTTCTGTCTGCTATGTGACATTGCAGAACAACCAGTAATTATACTTTAGATAGATGTTAATATATGTCAAGCACAACATGTACATTTTATCCAAATTGGATTAAATCTGTCCCTTAGATCAGATTTCCTGTTGCCAGAAGGTGGCGCTAGGATTATAACTGAATATTTGCTTGCAGACCTCTTCGCTTAGCAATAATGTAAAGCTTGTGGGAGATCCGATGATGTTCGTCTGAGTTATAGATGAAATGGCTGACAAAATATCAAAATTCACATTATTTAGCATTTTGATTAGACTGACCAAATAAAAAGCCAGTTTGATTCTGAAGGATCTGCATTATTTAGTGTACAACAGCTGTAAATGGGGAAAAGAGAACACAAAAATGCAGGAACGGGGTGCTAGTAAACCTTTTATGCATAGCCACAAGCGAAACTGTCGTCAACTTTAAGCAATTCTGCTGGTTGTTCAAAGTTTAATTAGTTTTTTGAGTACGTCAAATCCCTCAACAATGGATTAATTTCAGGAAATAATAATAAAATTTGGAGTTTCAAGGAGGTCCTTGCATTAGTTAGAGCTCCACTTTTAATGAGAAGATGAAATATATTTGACAAGAAGAGACTTGTATTGCTAGATAAAATTGTTCTACATCTTGAATCTTGTTTGGGTGCAGAACGAGGTGCTGGAGAACAGCGTGAAGTCGCTCACGGATGAGCTGCAGGATGTTCGAGCAGAGCGGGACGTGTTTCAACAGAAGGCTCATCGTCTCAATGTGGAGATGAACCACATAGTAGGGAATGATGATGTTCGCATCTTAGACATCGACGCGCTCTGCATGGAGAACAGGTTTGTTGCTCTTTTAAAAAGATCATTTTAAGGAGTACCTTTGTGATTGGCTGGCATGTTGAAGCAGTGATTTTCCAAAGTCTATTCATGTACACGTGCTGTCTTGCAATATATAGTTACATACACTGATCAGACATAACATTATGACCACTGACAGATCAAATGAACAAGACTAATCCTCTCTTCATCGTGGTACCTGTTAGTGAGTGGGACATTAGGAAGCAAGTGAACATTTTGTCCACAGAGTTGATGTGTTGGAAGCAGGAAAAATACGCAAGCATAAGGATAGTTCAGGCTCTGGCCTCTTTCACCAGGATGATGCACCCTGACACAAAAGCAAAAATAGTTCAGGAATGGTTTGAGGTTTGAGGATCACAACAACAAGTTTAAAGTGTTGACTTGGTCTCCATATTCCCCAGATCTCAATCCAATCAAGCATCTGTGGGTTGTGCTGGACAAATAATGAGAGTCTAGGGACAAATGGGGTCATAATGCTGTGCCTGATCTATATATACAGAATTTAGATAAAAATTTACTGAGTTGCAGTTGAAATTCTTCTCTACTGTTGAAACAGGTTAAACTGAACAGCATTTGTGGTTTCCGACATTTCAGGTATTTGCATGAGCGACTTAATCAACTTCAAGAAGAGGTCAACTTGCTCAAGACAAATCTGCTGAAGTACAAGGTAGTTGCAGTTTTTTTTTTTCTGTAATTTCATATATATTTATTGTATGTTATCTTTTATTTTTTAACTCTTTCTTTTCTCCAAACTGTTTCCTGCTGATGTCAGAGTGCCCTGGAGTGTAGGAAGACCTCTAAAATCAGTGGAAAGCCCAACAGCAGTGCTCTGACTGGGGTGCTTTCTGCTAAACAAGGTCAGAGGAATCATGCTAGTTCAAACATCTACACTTTCTATTATGCACATATTACCCTTTAAATGTGTGAGTTCAGTTTTATTCAGTGTCTCATGGGAAATGATGACTGCTGTTTCTTTTAACCGTGGCTCGTGACGTGCTTGCAGTGAAGGAATTGCTGCTGTCTGAAGAAAACGGCTGCAGTTTGCCGGTGACTCCTCAGTCCATCTCAGACCTCAAATCTCTCGCCACAGCTCTGCTGGAAACCATCCACGAGAAAAACATGGTGATTCAGCACCAGCGCCAAATCAACAAGTACTAAAATTCAGACTTCACTCGCACTCTTATTATGTGCTCCATAGATCACAGGTGTCAAACTGCATTATAAATAAATGAAAGAAATCTGTCAGCATGAGTTGTTGGACTTAAATTGTAAGAAATAAATGTGTAAAATTACAGAAAAAGCTCTGGCGTGCTGTTGCCCAGACTGTCCTGCAGAACGTTTTTGTTAAGTCACAGAAAACTTTTTGTTTTGTTCTTAGTATAAATGGCCTTGGAGGAGTCTTTGCTATTAGTAAAGCCTGCAAAATTTATGAAAATGAAGTTGATAGTCCATAATGTATGCCCTCCTTCACATTTTCCACAGCTCCAGACAAAATCTTTGCCAGGCTGATTCTGCCCCCTAGGCCTTTTATTTGACACCCCGGCTGTAGATTTTTAGCCAATTCACTTCTTGATGCAATGATGGGTCAACTGCAATATCCTTTTTTCCCCCATTAGGATTCTTGGAAATCGAGTAGCCGAGCTGGAGAAGAAACTAAAAACACTGGAGATGTCCGGCTTATGGAGCCTTCCAGGTTATTATAATTGTCTCAATATACTGAGACATGTGCATATCACTCTAACCTGTGCTAAGAATACTGTTTTTACAATAATTCCTCTTCCTTTTTCTGCCCTTTTGCTTCTTGCAACTTGGAGGCCTGACTTATAATGTGTCTCTGGGAATATGCGGAAGTATGTTTCTCCAAAAACGATGTCATCTACGTCATAAACTCTCAACTTAATCTTCTTCTCATATCTACCAACACTTCTTATCGCTATCTAATCCAACCTTTAAGTTGCTGTTTATGTAAACCACTTTTCTGAAAGCTTACTTTGACTGTTTTGTGATAACAGGGGGAAGAGACTCCATCATCCTGAACACGCAGCTAGTGGATTCGACCGATCCATCTGATTCTCCGGGACAGAACGGTGATTATTCATTGGAATTATTCCTCTATTGGTCAACAGCAGTTAAAATAGGAGCTGCATTTCTTGAATGTTATTTTTCTGATTTGTTCTTAAAGGTGACAAGAGATCAAACAAACCAGCTGAGCACGAGAGCTCTCCAGAAGACCGTGTAACACCAGCTGCGTCAGATTTTCAAGATGACGCACCAACGCCATCATCGTGTGTCGAGGCCTCGAACCAAAACTGCTCACCACAGTTGGACGAGCAAGAGTCCTCAAGGCCTCAAACAGAAATGCCAGCGAGTGAGGAGTGCCAGGAAAGTGACCAATCACAAAGCACCGCAGTTTTTACCAGTTTTGCAACAGAAGAGGGTCTGAGTGACTCCAGTGCTGATGTGAAATACTTGAACAGACCTGATCCCTCAGACCCCGGCCACTCACAGCAACTCTCAGAGAACTCAGTCCCAACAGCTGGAGGAGAGGAGGAGTCAGATGAATGCACTGTAGGGGGGGAAAGTGTTGAAACAGAGTGTAATGTAATAGAGAGAAATAGTCACGTTACATCCTCTACTACTGTGTCTACTACAGCCTCCGAAGAGCAGCAGGAGGACGTCCTGACTACCGCGGATGTTTGCAGTAGTCAGGAGGAGTTGTGATGTCGCACAGCATTAGGAAAAAAAACAAAACTAATTAAAGTATTTACAAAATCCACAAAGCTCTTTAATTATTTTTTTAATAATTCAAAAATTAAAAAAGACTGATAAACTAATCTTTGGAAAAACCGCATATTAGATTTCAGATGAGTGTGAATGAATCAACAGTGACTCCTACCAAACTGAAAAGTATTAACGATACTCTTCAGATGCTCTAATGTTTCTCTGCTTTCACTCGGTCCATTGTCCGAGTTCTGCACCACCTTTTGAACTGATGTCAATGTGACCAAAAGTAACTGGACACCTGTGATTCGTCATCCCCCCAAACCGTACTCACAGGAGTAATAATATTCACTCCTGTGAGAGTTTCTCTGAGAGTTTTAAAACGTGGTTCATTCATTCACTCACACACATGCATATCTGATGTGGCAAAACAGTGATTTCTCCTTATTAAATAAGTAGCAAAAAAGATGCATGCATCGGTGCTGTATATGTTATACTTAAAGGTTTCTTTCTGCTTTTGAAGGTAACATTTACAGAGTTGTCTGCTTTAGGCGTATGAATTCTTTTGCTTATTAAATCACATAATAAAAAGGAGTTAATGATGATCTTTTAAATGACCTTTGTTAGGTCATGAACTGGCTCATTACTGTCAGGAATTCAGCCCTGGCATGATTTAATTCAGTCATCATGAGGATAAAAGCAATTTGACAAAGATGACAGGAAGCACTGTGTGCTTGTTCTAAATACGATGTGCCCCACGTGATCCAAGCACAAACCGACCTTCTGCTTTACTTAACATTCGCGGCATATAATCAGCAAAGCCGCATATGACAACACTGAGTTCATGAGACTGTATGATGATGTGATATGTCAACAATGTAAAAGCTAACTCAAATGGTTAAAAATCTGAGACTACATGTTCTAGTGGTGCTTTTTTTATCACATCAAATATTACGAAATGGTCAGATAATGTACAGAACAAGCAATATGTTATCATAAAGTATAATAAAAAATGGGGTTATGATCTGAGAGGAGAGCTAAAAAAAAAAAAAGGGTGAACAACAAAGAAGAGCTTGTTCAAATTAACCTGTGCAGTGGATTTGTGGAATAATATGGAGAAGGGTTTTGAAAATGTGCACAAATATAAAGTTTTAAGAAATTATACATGGAAAAAAACCCACTTATAAAGCAGTATATGGAAGCAGAGTATTAAATATTAAACTCTGCGTGGATATTTGGGTTGAACACTGTGAGGTGATATGATGGTTATACTGTGGAAAAAAATAATAATTGGAAAGCATTTGCTTCCTTCTACTCCTTTTCGAACAGGAAATGGTCAGTATTTTATGGGAGATCAGTCTGTGGAGTTTATTTAATATAATGGCTTTCTTTATTTCATACCCATTTTTTAATATTTATTAACATTTGTTACTTATATGTTGGAAATAAAGATTTCATTCCTTTTATTCATTCAAATATGTGTTAAATGCTATATGACAGCATGTTACTGAGTAAATAAAGACAGTCTCGGTTGTTTCTTTTATCTGACTTAATTTATTGACAGACATTTGATAATTACAAGTCATTTCTCGAAGCTCCTCCTGAAATATAACACACTGACATCTTGATCTTATTTTTTTATTAGAAAATTTTTGTAAATTACTTTTTGTTTTTGACTTGAAAAACCATTGTATTTGTATGCATTTTTATGTATTCTGTATTTATTTATTTTTACACAAGACCACAGCTACAACTAACTAACTTCGAGCTACAAAGACAGCACAGCTGAGGCTGATGGTACTGAAATTTATTTCAATAACTTTGGTCACAACTTAAGTACCAGGATAAGCTGAGAGGTGAATCTGATGATGGAGCGAAAGGAAAGCTGTCCAATCATATATTTGGTTTGTTGATACTCCAACCAACCAACTGTACCATTACTAATATTGAACACCATAATTATGCTAATTTGTAGTAAGAAAACTCTCAAACAATTATTAAAGCATGTTTCTAATACTTCTAAGAAGCTACTATGCATTTTGGCAGGATGTGGGTTTAACTACCTCGTTATTTTTTTCTTGGTATCAAACTAGAAGTAGAGTATATCACTATATCACTCACACACTACTGTAGGTTAATTCCTCCTCAGCCGCCTGGAGTACTGCTTAAAGTTCATATTCCAGAGATTGGGGGACGAAACCCCAATAATACAGCATGCGAGCCTTCGGCCTGCGTTTCCATGCAGCAGGCTCCCAGCGTCTCCACCACGCCCTAAGTCGTCTATCTTTTCATGAATCACCACTGCTCTCCCAAACACAGACAGGCTTCCAAACAGTGTTGCATCAGATTCTAGCATTGTATTAATCTTCCCTTGCTGGGGCTCAAAGTTTCCAAAGTCTCCAGGGTGGTTAGGGTGATTTACACCATATGGATTGTAGTGGCCACCGGTGGAGTCACATCCCCGGCTCAGGTCTCCATACTGATGGATGTGCACCGCTCTGGGCTCCGGACTGCCGTCTCTGGGGAAGCCACTAAACCGGAGAAGGACCTTGACTTTCTCCTGAGGATGATCCTGCTTGAACAACACATGGCCGTACACTTTGGGCAGGTCCTCCGGGAGAGAGGTGCTGGGTCTCACCTTGCAGACTGCATACAGGGTGCCGTTGTTCTGCAAGACCTCTGGAGCCAATGTGTCGCTGGATGCTAAGACACATTGTTGACAGCCTGCCAGCAAAACCAACAAAGCAGCTTCCAGTATACCCACTGACCTGTAAGATATTAAAAAATATATTAGGACAAGACTCCTCTGGCATGAAGGACAATTAGTGACTATAGACCAATTAAGGCAATATCTAGATTGTTCACCTTGGTAAAAAATGTCCTGCTATTGCATTTCACAATACAGCAGTACATTCAGAAATATTGTTATTGTTAAGAATCCACACTGGGGAAGCTATAATTATGTAATTATTATCGCTAACATGTTATGTAACTGCTAAAACTCAACTCTACACAGGGTTTAAACGAGGCTCTCTTATATCATAGAACAATTTTACATAATTTTTATTTACAATCTTCATCTGCATCTAGGTATAAGGTGTACTTTAATTTACTTTAATGTAAAACTTCAGTGTTTCTAAGTCTGAGGACAAAGTGGCACTCAAAAGCCTCTCAGTTAATGTTTTTCTGACGATGTTTTTAGGCGCACACAACATCGCCCAAAAGTACAAGTGGTTAACTAGACAGACAAAATGTCGCAGGAATGCAAATAAAGTTAAGTACACAGTGCCAAACAAAGTCCACTTACGCGTATCGATGCATGGTCACTTGTAAAAGGCGCAGAAAAGGCTGAAAAGGCGCAGAAAATTAAACGTAATGGTTTTCACAAGCCGAGCGCTGCAGTCTGCAGGGTATCCTCACCCAAAGCGTTTCCAAACAATGTTGTATAAACTCTTGTGAACGAATGGGCGTTGCTGTTTGGCGAGGGTGGAGCAAGGGACTTGACAAGTCTTTTGATGATTTGATGAGTAAATCTCGAAATATTCGACCCCGCAGTTGAGACTAACAAAAATATGGCTGATTTCAGAACAATAATCTAATGAAAAACAGAACTACGTTTGTCCGTGATTTGGGAGAGGGCGCAAACTGACAGAGTCAGCCTGATGTTGCTTGTTTCGCACTTGTGCCCATTATTATTATTATTATTATTATTATTATTATTAAAAATGAAAGGACAGCACAGAGTCCTATGAAAAACTAAGTACATCTATTACTACTCCCACAGGAATTAAGAGCAGCCAGATGTTCCTAATCAAATACACTTGATAGTCAATCGTCAGAAAGTGTGAGCACCTCCACAAAAGCCACTTTGTTGGTCTGGAGCATTCAGGTGCCGCAGTCTTCCCGGGAGTGGATATCGCAGCAAATGTATACATAAGTTCATAAATGTATTAAAAAATAAATAGCTAAATAAAACAAGAGCAGTTAGCATGTTAAATGTTTACATTCATGGCAGTACAAATAGAAAAAGCCTGAACAAGTATGGCTTGTTTGGAAGGGTGTCAAGGACAAAGTGTCTTCTTTCCAGGAAAAACATGACAGCACATCTTAGGTTTACAAAGCTGAACAAACCACAACTCCTGTAGAACAATGTCCTTTGGACAGATTGGAGCAGAGTGGAGATGTTAGGCAATAATGCAAAGTGCCACATTTGGTGAAAACCAAACATAGCATATCAGCACAAACACTTCAGGGGTGATGAGGGGTGATGATTTGCAGTAGTTTGCAGCCACAGGGCCTGGGCACCTTGCAGTCAGTTGACCATAAAGTCCTCTGTATACCAAAGTATTCAGTAGTCAAATGTGAGCCCATCTTAGCCACAAAACTGATCATGCAACAGGACAATGAACCCAAGGAGACCTGCAAATCTACAGCAGAGTGTCTGACAAAGTAAAGAATTGTAGTGTTGCAATGGCCGGTGTGGTGGGGCGTTACGAGAGCTGTGCATGAACCAATGAATGCAAACCTCAATAAAATGAAGCACTCTGCAGAGTGGGCCATAATTCCTCCACAGTGATATATGACACTGATAAAGGCAAATGCAGCTAAAGACGGTTCTACTAGCTAATTAAATGCAGTGTATACTATTTCTTTGTCTTTTTTTTTTTTACAGGACTTTATAGAACCCATGGGAAAACCTTTCATATGACTTTAAAGTAGAGTAAAAAAAATATTTTGATCCATGCTCAATCATCCAGGTAAGTAAATCTGTACTGTTTATAAGGTTTCAGTGGATGAGTGACAAAATGTTTCTCCCACTGAAAACGTTACATCCATATGAACAGTAAAAAAAATTATATATTTTGTTAACTGTAATAGATTAGGCCTAGAATTTCCCCCCAGTGACACACTAGAAGCCCCTACCACCACTTCTAAAACATCTGTTTACGTAATAATAAATAGATGTGCCTGATTTTCTGTGTGGTACGATTATCAAATTCATTGTTTAAGGACCAGTAGCTCAAACAAATGGGCAAAAAACGTGTTTTTATTTTCTTGTTTTTATGTGCCAATTTTCTTTGAAATCCAATAGAAAACAAAAAGTATTATATGGTTATATGACTATATAGAGCATTAATAATAAGTGAAAATCCATTTGAAAGAACTTGCCGTGGAAACACCAGTGAAGACTCCACAACAGCAGGTGGCGCTTGCTGAAATTGTGTTACACAAATACGAAAAGAAGAAAACACTTCGGTCGGAGAACTTGCAGCACAGGAATCAGGAAATATAACCTGCCGGGTAGAACTGTACCCGCGTTAATTGTTTCACAGAAAGCCACATTTTACCTTTAAGATGTCAAAAAGACATCGTTTGGATTTGGGTGATGACTACTCCTCCAGCAAGAAGAGGTCCGACGGGTGAGTGAAGTTCCACAGTTATCGCTCTCAAACTAGTCGGGTACAAGCTAACTGCTAGCTGCCGCTCTCGGTCACCATGGATGGAAGATGGGAGCTGAGAAAATATAACCCTAAGCTGCTCATGCTGCAGCTCTGCTTTATTCGCTGTTTCCTGATAGCACCCGAATGATCGTGCAGCGCGAACAGAAACGTGCTAAGTGCTTGTATTTAAAAAAATACCGTAGACGTTGGGCTAACAAACGAAGCATCAACGTTACCTTCATCGTAGCGGGGGCACGTGTGTTTGGCTAACGTTAACATAGCTCCTTATCTAACCCGTGTTGGTTCAGCTAGCCAGCCGTGGCTTCGATTTAAAAGACTGTGATTTGGTTCTTAAAATAGTCATCTAATGTTGTACTATACTAGCTGCGAACTAAAATTGTCCTTGGCGCCGATTAAGCTAGCAGAAACTTTAGCGTCTCTTAGCACTCACATGTTTTACGTTGTGCTCGTGTGTGTTTATCTCAGTGAAAACCTCCACAACAGACTTACAGATGCGAAAGAAATCGTGGCAATTCTTTTTAAATTTGCAGGATTTCATTGCGATTAACTGTTCAAACTACCAGTAAAAGTAGGCTAAATATTGACAGTTTGCAAATAAGTATATTGTGACCCATTAATTGTAAACAATTTGTATAAAAATAAATAAACATATAAACTTTAAAGCCTTCAAAGTATTTGATGTGATATTATAAACATTTGCTGTAACTGTGTGTGCTTGTTAAACTGACAGTGTGCACACACTGCAGATATGTCAGTATCTGTCTAAATGCAAAAGTAAACGTCAGGTAGTTTAGAAGTGGCACTGCTATAAGATCATAATTTAAACAGACTAGTGTCAGGTTGGTTTTATAACTTTAAAATATCACAAAACAAAATCGTAAGTATGAAGACAGCGATGAAGAATGCAAAGGAGTGACAGTTGGGTTCAAGGTGGGCGTGGGATTACACCAGGGATCGGTTCTGAGCCCCTGCTTGATTGCCATGGTGATGGACAGACTGACAGATGATTTCAGGCAGGATCCTCTTTGGACTATAATAACAGAGGACGGATCTGCAGAGAGC